CAGGTGTAAAAGTAGGGAGGCAAAAGATGACCTTGAGCTTCTAGAAAGGAATGAAAACAATACATTCCACAATCCTACTCCTGTTTATTCCCTCCTCCCATCAACTATACTAATGAAACAGCATAATGAAATAAGAGAAAGTGTGGCAGGCCAAAATTCTAAAAGAAATATAATTGCAGGCCTGACACTATCTATCTATCTATCTATCTATCTATCTATCTATCTATCTATCTATCTATCTATCTATCTATCTATCTATCTATCTCTATTATATCTGTCTGTTCGTCTATCTAATCATCTTTATCATCTGTCTGTCTATCTATCCATCCATCCATCCATCCATCCATCCATCCATCCATCTATCCATCTACCTATCTAATTATCATTATCTATCTATCTATCTACCTACCGTGTTTCCCTGAAAATAAGACAGGGACTTATTTTCTTTTGACCCCTGAAATAAACACTTGGCCTTATTTTCGGGGGAGGTCTTATTATTTTTGAGGTGCGGAAGGCGGCGAGCGTGGTCACTTCATGGCTGCTGTTGTGTTGCAATATTTTCGAGGAGGGCTTCTTTTAGCCCGTGCGCTCCAAAGCCCGATTGGGCTTATTACCCAGGGAGGTCTTATTTTCAGGGAAACAGGGTAGTATGGGGGGATCCAGGAGAGAAGCAACTTAGAACTAAGGAGAAATCTCCTGACAGTTAGAACAATTAATCAGTGGAACAGAAGTTGCCTCCAGAGGTTGTGCAATGCTCCAACACTGGAAGTTTTTAAGAAGATGTTGGATAGCCATTTGTCCAGAATGTTGGAGGGTCTTCTTCTTCAACCCGAGCATAGGGTTGGACTAGAAGATCTCCGCGGTTCCTTCCGATTCTTATGATTCCATGTTCTGACCACTTTCTGAGTTGCCAAAGCGATGCACGTTTTAGAATCCTTTCTACTGATCCTCTGAGCTTGAGAAATTTCCCCTTCTTTCTTTTTCTTCTTTTCTGTTCAGAAGAGCCAGCAGGGCGATGGGCAGGAAATACGCCGGAGGACTACTGTCATGCAGACGGAATTTGAGGATTTTGTCCATTCCAGTGCTAAAACCATCCGATGTGCCAAAAAAGGTCAGGAATTTTGCTCCCCTAACTTTTTTGTCGATCAGAAAGTTCGGCAGTTCAAACCCCTAGTGCCACTTAACGGAGGGAGCTCCCGTTCCTTGTCCCAGAACTTCTGCCAACCGAGCAGTTAGAAAGCACGTTAAAAAATGCAAGTAGAAAAATAGGGAGCACCTTTGGTGGGAACGGAACAGCGTTCCATGCGCCTTTGGCGTTGAGTCATGCCAGCCACATGACCCCGGAGACGTCTTCGGACAGCGCTGGCTCTTCAGCTTTGAAACGGAGATGAGCACTGCCCCCTAGAGTCGGGAACGACTAGCACAGATGTGGAAGGGGAACCTTTACCTTTCTGAGTTTAAAGGAGACAAGGAGACAACTTCAAATTTTATTTTAGTACAGAGTATTCCAGATAGTCCATAACTTATGGTGGTGCTGGAATAAAATGATTTATGACCATTGCAGCATCTCCAAAATTCGGTCGCTTGGCAACTGACTCACATTTATGACCTGTTTCCCTTTCATGACCCCCTGGCAAGGAAAGACAGTGGGGAAACCAGATTCATTTAACGACCGTGTTATTGACTTAACCGCTGCAGCGATTTGCTTAACGACTGGTAGGTAGTCCTCAATTTACGAACACAATCAATCCCGAAATGTCCTCGTTTTAAGAATATTTATTTTGTTTTATCATAAAAGGTGAAATATAAAACAGGAAAAATAAAGAGAGAAAAATCTGTGCAGCACTAACAACAAAAAATTGGGGTACCAAAAAAAAGAGAAAAATGTGATCCAAAAACAAAATAAGTTTAACATAACAGAACCTACGACCACAGTTGAGCCCAACATTTCTGTTGCTAAGCGAGACAGTTGTTAAGTGGGTTTTGCCCCATTTTACGGTCTTTCTTGCCACCGTTGCTGAGCGAATCGTTGCGGTGGTTAAATTAGTCACACGGTCGTTAAGTGAATCACGCTTCCCCTGTTGATTTCGCTTGTGAGAAGGTCGCAAATAGGGACTATGTGATCCTGGAACACTGACCGTCCAACACAGGAGCCATTTATTAAGCGTCCAAGTTTTGATCACATGGCCATGGGGATCCCGGTCGTAAGTGTGTGAAAAGCGGTCATAAGTCACCTTTTCCAGCCTTGGACACTAAACAAATGGTTTTGTAAGTTGAGAACTACCTGAAGTATAGAATTACCGGGCAGGTGTGCCACATGAGGGGCAGCCACAGAGAGGAGGAGGGGGTCAAGCTATATTCCAAAGCACCGAACAAGGAATAATGGATGGAAACTGATCGAGATTCAACCTGGAAATAAAGGGGAATTTCCTGACAGTGAGAACAATCAACCCAATGGAACAGAAGTTGCCTTTGGAAGTTGTGGCAGCTTCATCACTGGAGGCTTTCAAGAAGAGACTGGAGATCCATCTGCCAGAAATAGCCTCCTGCTTGGGTGGGGGGTTGGACTAGATGACCTACAAGGTCCCTTCCAACTCTATTCTGATTGATTGATTCAAGCTGGAAATAAGGAGACATTTTCTGGCAGTGAGTAGATTCATCCCATGGAACAGAAGTTGCCTTCAGAAGAAGCTTCATCACTTGAGACTTTTAAGAAGAGGCTGGACTGCCATCTGTCAGGAATGGTGTAGGGTCTCCTGCTTGAGGTGGGAGGGGGGTGGACTAGATGACCTACAAGGTCCCTCCCGACTCTGTTCATCAGAGATACGTCCAGTGATTTTAGCCAATGGAAGAACTTGCTCCAAACCCAAAACGTTTCAACTTACGGCTCAAGAGTTAAACACGCCGGGCGAATGGACCCATGAGATGTTTCGCCACTTAGCAAAGCAGGGCAAGGAAGCGGCGTTGTTTAAGTGGAACAGAAGGCTTGGGCATCTCCGGCCAGCGCTGTTTCCGGCACGAGACTTTGTCACCGGTGTTCGCAGGGAAGCGGCTTCTCCACCACCCATATTGGCATCTGCAGTTTCTGCCATTGAGGCTCCCATAAACACAGATGGAACGGATCCTCCACAGCTGCCCTGGGGCAGTATAATGGCCCCATGTTTTCCGATGAACACTTTAAAAGCCGCCTGTCTCTCCCAAGCCTTTCTCCCCTCCTCCTGGTTTTTTGGGGGTTGGTTTTTTCTCTCTTTTTTTTTTTTGCAAAGCTTCCCCCCCTCCCTCCCTCTCTTCCTCCCCCTCCCCTGCCAGTTGCTGTCCCTCTCTTTGCAAGCGCGTCCCACCCATGCCCCCTTTCCAGCTGGCATCCACCAGCCGCCCTTCTCCAGCCCAGCCAAGAACGGTGAATAATTAACACAGCAGCTGGGCTCTGGGTGGATGGCAGAGAATCAAACGGAAACGGCGCCAATGACTTGGCTTGCCGGCGTTTCCTCGGCTGTCCTTTCCCGGACCCCAGCCCGTTGGCCTTGACCGAGTCGGTGTGGGTGACCGGTTGTGGATCGGGGGCCCTCCGTGGCAGAATTTTTAATCTGTGGCTGTTGAGATTTTGGGGTGGAGAGGGAAAGAAGGAAAGAAAGAGAGGGAGAGAGAAAAAGATGGGAAGGGAGGAGAAAGAGGAAGAAAAGATGGATAGAAAAAGATTCTGAGGAGGTAGGGAAGGAAAGAGAGAGAGAGAAAGTGAAAGAAAGAAAAGGTGGATAGAAAAAGATTGTAAGGAAGGAAGGAAGGAGAAAAGAGAAATAAAGAAAAGATGGATAGAAAAGGATTCTGAGGAGGTAGAGAAGGAAAGAGAGAGAAAGCAAAAGAAAGAAAAGGTGGATAGAAAAAGAATGTAACAAAAGAAGGAAAGAGGAAGGAAGGAGAAAAGAGGAAGGAGGAAAAGATGGATAGAAAAAGATTCTGAGGAAGTAGGGAAGGAAGGAAAGAGAGAAAGAGAAAAAGAAAAGAGATGGATAGAAAAACATTTGGAGGGAGGAAGGAAAGAGAAAAAGAAAGAAAAAAAGAAGGATATAAAAAGATTCTAAGGAAAGAAGGAAAGAAAGCTAGAACAAGATTCTGATGAAGAAGGAAGGAAGCAGAAAAAAGAAGAATAGAGTTTGGTGAAGAAGAAGGAAGGAGAAAGAAAAGATAGGAAAAGATTCGGAAAGGAGGGAGCGAGAGAGAAAGATGAATAGAAAAAGATTCTGACAGAGGAAGGAAGGAAGCCTTCTTTTTCTCCTAATCAATGTGGACTAGAAAACTTGCCTTTGGTGCCCTTTCAGTGGAAACAATGGCTGTTTTTATAACCCTGTTCTAAAATCCAACAATATTTCAAAACCTTCTTTTTCCCTTGAATCGGTGTGGACTAGAACCTTGCCACGGGAGATGTTTCAGAGGCTTTGAGATGGGCACATGTGCCCGGCGATGTCACTCGACTCCAAATACCTGAACGGGCATCTTGAAACTCCATATTTACCTCAGTTTGTTTTTTACCTCATGTTTTTCACCTCATGTTTTTCACCTCATGTTTTTCACCTCATGTTTTTCACCTCATAGTTTACCTCATGTTGCATCCTCCCCTCTCACCCCCCCAGGCTAAAAAAATGGAGGATAGGAAATGAGAGGAGGGGGCTGCTGCCCTTGGTTATTCCCTCATTGATTGGGAAATGGCGTTCGCTTTGCTTAGCAAACAGAGCTTTCCGAGATTCCCCAAGTTCTTCTGGAGACTGAGCCTCCTAAAATGACATTTTTATTACTGTTCGTAAAGCACAATCTCCTGCCACACAGAGATTTAGGCTTAAGCTCTGCGCAAATAAACCGGTGTTCTGGCTCAGGACGGAAGGGCAGAAAGAGGTGTGAGGAGGGGTCCGGAAGCTGGGGAGGGGGACAGCTGTGGTCAGCCTTGAGGGCCGGAGAGGGCATTG